CGGTGACATCACGCAGATAACACACGTGACTCCGTGAGCACTGGATCATAGGTTTGCAGAAAGTCTGTGGGATTAAAGAGGCCATCTACATCAGGGCATTACAACCATCCCTCAACAGAGACGGGGGGCGCCACAGACTTTCTGCAACCTATGATCCACTGCTCACGGAGTCACGTGTGTTATCTTCGTGACGTCACGGAAGCGGTGGATTGTTCATTCCTTGACAAAGACTGGAGTTGTACAGTCGAAAATTTGAGTGAGTCCAATTTGTTGTGTTAGATATTACAGTTAAAACTTGCTTCATAACGTATTTTCAGTGTTGCTGTTCAACAACAACATCGAACCCACCGCCGACAACAACCCCCAGCCCGCTGCTGACCACTAACCCTGGTAAGAACTTTGGGGTGAACTGTTTTATAAAAATGTATTGCTAAATGCATGGAGTCAGGTACAATGGAGTTTCCAAACCATTGCGTAATGTTGGCCTTTTTTTAATAGGCACAGCTGTATATGGATGTTTGTTGGTAAACAATACGGTGTTAGTGTTTTAAGTGTGTGTAATGTTGTTACCCATCACAGATGCATTTTCCTTCGAAGGTAAGGTATTTGTCAAGGAAAGTTTGTGAACGGAATTAGTTCTAAACATAAAGCACGGGCCTTATTAAAAAGTCAGCAATTTTTCTGTCCTGTAGGTAAACAGAGGCTAAGAAAACTATTCCAAATGCCCATATCAGACGAAATCTGAGTATGTATACGGAATTAGTAGGAATAGAATTGCTGTGTGTAGTGATGTCTAACTCAATGGATGTAAAACTAATAATGGTGAAACCGGATGTAATTGAATAATAGTATATATATATGTCACGGGAGATTGGAATCCAGGGGGATCCGGAATCCTCCTAGGGGAGATTGGAATCCCTATCTCCCCTAGGGGAGATTGGAATCCTTATCTCCCCTAGGAGAATCTGGAATCCTCCTAGGGGAGTTAGGGATTCCAATCTCCCCTAGGGGAAACTGGAATTCAAGTTTTTTGTACAAAACTGGGATGTTGGGTTTGGTGAGAAAAAAAATTCAGTGCAAAAGAGAAACCCCGATAAAAAATCCTAAAAACACGCTAAAAATACCCCCAAAACCCAAACCTCTGCTTGGAGAGTAACATATTTCATGGAGGTATGAAATATCAGAATTCTTGTTGTTTTGTTATTTTGAACGATTCCGGGGCGTGGGTCTAATCGGCAAAAAAGCAGAAAAGCGTAAGACAAACATGTCCACCATGTAGCAATGATACTATATATTCCTATTGGAATAGCGTATACGGATGGAATAGCTCAAGTTATTTTCTGTTCCCCAGCTTCATCTTTGCGGACAACTCCTTCCCAGCCTGTTCCTACCTTCCCTCCTGGTAAGTCATTGCCACCACAAGTTTCAATGTTAATACAGGGTGCATCTTTTAAGGAGCAAAAATTGTTCATCATGATGATTGGTTTATTAAAGAAGAAGCACAATCTGACATAGCAGTCAACAGACTGAATTAGGCCAGACTTTACAGTAGTTTTAAAATCAGTTGAGTTGATAAAATCACAGCTTAAAATATAGCACATTATAAATATTTACAGTTCGTTCCACCATCGTCATACATAAATACATAAAATCTGTTACGATATTTAAAAACAAACTTCTACAGTTCATTCAGTAACTTTGTCATTGCGGGGATTGCACTAGTTATGTAACGTTTAGTCCCAGTTGGTTGTTGGTAGCGTGTCGAGTTGCGGAGATGCCTGCCATGTTGCTGTCCGCGGGTAGGGGGCAGCCACGCGGAGAAGCGAGACGACCTTTCCACCTTCAAGGCAAAGTCTGTGCACAGTCATGTTTATGTTTAGGTCATACAAGTTGCTATTAAACATTGTGTGAATCACATTTTTTGCTTTCCAGGTTGTGCAGAGTATCCGACCTTAGCTGCTAGTGCGGACTACAACGGCATATGTTACATATTTTCTGCGAGACCCACCGACTACAGAGCGTACCTCACGACAGACTGCCAACAGTTCAATGCCAGACCAGTCCTAGTCACGAACAACCAAATCCACCAGTTCCTGGTGTCACAACTACAACGATATCCGCAGTTCTACGGGAAACACTTTTGGATTGGTCTCTTTCATCATCCGGACCATCAACATTGGATCTACGCCGAGGAAAGTCTGACACCGCTGCCAGACGACTTTGAGGAGTGGGCACCCGACCAAAACGTCACCCACGTGTCGGTTCCTTACAACTGTGTGACCATGTCTGCCGAGCACAACTACAGCTGGGTATTAGAGAACTGTCGGGCAACAACGCAGCACTATATTTGTCAGATTGATAAGTCAAAAATTCTTGTTTAGTTGAGTCCTCTTTTCACGATATGGGGAGGGCTGGGCGGAACCTCTTCCACTAGTAGATGACCCATCAGTACAAAGTCCACGTGGCCATGTGCTGTTTTGGTAAGGGTAAAAAAGTTGCTGCATATATATGACAAGTTCAGCCACAAATTTACCTCGAGTACAACAATTTCTTGTAGTTTTCTTTATTGCAAGATGTTCTTTGTGGCTGTCTTACTTCAAATGTTAGCAAAATCATGACAAATGTCTCTCAAGGGCTACTCCACTCCGTCCAAGATAAAGAAACAAACCCTTCCTTGGTCAGTGATACCTGCTGGGCAGGCAGGAGATAAGCATCACTACATACTGAGAAGGACGTTAGGCTTTTTGAACAAGACAGAAGGGACCAATCAGCACACTCGGGCAAAATCTGACCGAGAATCTTCAATTCCAGATGGTTCAGATCTAACCGTTCCCAGACTACTTCTTAGGGAAGCGAGTGTGGGAGCCCCGGCATACAAGTAGGATGGTACCCAGGCTATCCGTGGCAGCTTTGGAAAGTTCATCAAAATAGTAGAATCAATGTACTACATTAGACAAGGCAGCATTTAAACATTTTAAAAAATAATACAAGTAGGAAGACAAGGGTTTGTCAAAGGAAGATTTATTTCCACAAAATGTAAGGACTTAACCCATGTAGCCAACTTCCAACATGCTTCATCACTTGTATAAAGAACACACCCAAATACTATCACATTATGTCATATGTCCAACTCTCCGCTGACAAGAGACACACTCCCAAGTATTTGTGGCCAGGTGGACAGAATGGAAAATGGCACATTGGTCCTGTGATATTCCAATAGAAAAGCTGAAATGTGTGTTTTGGTCCCCTCGGGACTTGCCTTGAAGTGCCCTTTGAAAAGACAGAATAATCAAACCAAATGTAACCTGCGCACTGTGGATGTGCTGCAAGGGCGTGTTGGGGGTTGTTGGGATACGGAATAAGCAAATTCATAAACATGAATTTAGATAAAAATTCAATTATGCCATTCAGTGTTCTTGGTGCGAGTCGAGCCAACTTAGTCCGTAAGATTTAGCCGTGTCAATAGGCCTAAACAAACTAACACATTATATTGGTCAGGATTTGTCTTTGCTGAACTAAAGTCAAAATTGTTTGCTTTCCTTTAACATTTATACGCGCGATGAAAATGATATTAGGAGTTAGAAGTAGAAACAGACTTGTTCTGCTGTTGTTGCAAATAAGCAGTTGTATCCAGAGCCGTGCTTTATCCAGAACCGTGCCTGGAGCAAATTGACGGTCTTGGATACGCAGAGACTATCCAGAACCGTACCTAATTCTACCCCTTACCATCAGGTGTACCCATTCAGGCATCAAACTAGATAGGTACGGTTCTGGTTAAAATACAGGGCCATAAATACTTGGGTGTCTGACTTCACCATCGCCATTTCACGTCCAGTAGTAGAGTACAACTTCTTTCTATTGTGTGAACACGTTCCATTGGAAGACCTTTTTTACTGTCAAGCATCTGATGCAAATAAATTTCTAAAGGTAGATCAAGCAGATTTGTTTGTTTGTTTGGTTTCTCTTTGCCTGAAGAGATATCGAAGTATATTTCTATATCTCTATATCTGTATATTTTCCCATATGTTGTCCTCCAAGCATTACCTTATGAAAGGAAACACTGTTTTGTCTTTGTGTTTGAGAGATGTATGATCCTGGTTGATTATCTTGCCAGCTATAATGATAAATAGACTGAACTCTATCGAAAAGCTAACATTTCTATCAAAAAGGGAAACATTAACATATATATACAGTTTGAGGCAAATTCAAGGGAAACAAACTCCCAATATAAATTGTACACTTACATCACTGATATTTCCAAGAAACTAAAATGCTGATCAACTTTCCCAATAAAATGGTTTCTATAGGTTTCAAATGCAACAATTCTTTAATCTATCATCAGGGAATAAAGGGTGACTACAAATGAAGTATTTTAAAAATAGCCAGAAATAATCATTGTCCAGAAATGACGCAAATTTGTTTGTGAGACGTGTCCGTGAATCTTGACCAGAGCCAGACGTAATTTGTGACTGATAGTCGAGGCTTTTGTTAGACGTTTTCAAAGTTGGACAGGGGTGGTTGATGCGTTTGTTAGTAGTCCATACATGGAAACAAAACCTGGAACATTTTTGCTCTGTGTAACTTGAAAACAAGCAGCGTATTTGAATGCTTCAGAATCATGCATCACGTAATATCCAATTTGAACGGTAAATTTCAAGAGATCTATTAATTCGGTATGGGTAATCTCCGGGCGATGCACACCTTAGACATCCAGGCTAGGCGTTATAAGGACATTCTTGAAAAGTCTTCGATGACATCTTTTTTTTAGTATGACGGCATTAGAGAGCACCCATCGGAATTATAGCAGTCGGTATGATGTAGAGTCACTGATGTTTTTGTGGTCAGTAGAACAGAGGATACTGAAAACAACTTTACTTCACGACTGCCAGGATTTTGTAGGTGGGTCAAAGGCGTTCGAATTACAAGTGTTGAGCATAGACTGTAGTCCAGACTTAGATGGGAATCCCAATCCCAAAAGGTTGAAGTTGGAAACGATAACATTTGTTACCTTGAATCACTTCAATTTCATTTTGGCAAACCTGCTTCTTTCACTAAGTCGTTGAGAGATGTACAGAAAGAGAAGTGGATTCTGCAGAAAGTGAGCTGTGATACTTTTCTTGATCTTACAACCGTTTGATTTGATTTGATTTGCTTTAAATTTGCACATAATGCCCAAGCTCACCCCAAATTCCCAGATGTTGTTGCGTCAATAAACTGGATTTCCTATATACAGGGTCTAACATATGTATGTTCGTTGTCAAACATCGGAAATCTCGCTAGTCAAACACTTTCGCCCCGTTACAAAGCAATGCGAGCTCTTCTGTCATCGTCTCAAAGCGATAGGCGACCCTGATGTTGGGGATGTTGGTTTTGAGGACTGTGTTTCCGGCAGGGCCCTCCTTCTGACGATAGTTTTCTCCCAAGAAATGCTTCTTCATCTGTAAAGAAGAGAACGCGTATTTATGAATGCATGACCTCGACTATGTTTAGAGTTAAAACTTTAGATCCAACACAAAAATTCTCTCACCTAGAGTTTTCGACCAGTCATTCTGGTCTTCCTCAGTAGACTGACCTAGTGTGACATATCACGTGGCTTTTTTGAAGTGTGACGTCACCACTGGGTCAAAGGCATCTGGTAGACGATGTCGGCCCTCGTCGCGGTTCAGTGAAGGGTGATGGGCCCTGATGTATATGGCCTCCTTCACCCCTCTTAGGAAATAGTCTTGTTCAGTGTCCAAAATATGTAGAGACTATCCAGAACCGTACCTAATCCTAACCCTTACCCATTCAGGCATAGAACTAGATAGGTACGGTTCATAGTATGACTTCGACTACTTTTCCTCAGTAGTATGCCTCAACAGCCTCATTGTTGACGTCACACTTCATAGAGGCCACGTTACAAGTCTCACTGGGTCAGTCTACTGAGGAAGACCAGAGTGACTGGTCGAAAGCTCCAGGTGAGAGAATTCCTTTGTGTTGGATCAAAAATCTAAATTTTGAACAGCCTCAGTTTCTGCAACATATCCTACTTGACGGATACCCTCATCATCGCAGTTTCACTTCACAAAATCTATTCTTTATGCACACCTTAAAGCATGCCTAAAGTTTTAGTTTCGTCCCTAGCATGTACCTTAGTTTACGCATGCTTTAAGGCGTGCAGTGCATGGGCAGCGACGTCCAGCATAGCAGGCAGAACTGACCAGGTCTATGTTAGACTATCGCCGTGGTATGTAAATCGTGCAATGATGCTTAAACGAACAAACAGCTATCATTTTGAAACAAGGCCAAAAACAGATTCAAGTCATCCACATCAACAAATTGGAAGTCAACAAACTCAAACCGTGCATGAAAATTCGTCTGTGCTGGTAGAATACATAATGAGAAACAAACTATTCTCCAACTCAACTCAACTTCTTTCAACCGGAACGGTGGGTGGTACCAACTTCCGACGAACTTTGACCTAGTGCTGACGTCACACGTGGGCAAAACACGTGTCTAAAGCACTCGGGCCAGAAAGCTGATGAGGACTGAGCGATTCGGTTGAAAATTCCGGTGAGTTAATTTTTTTGTTGAGATGGAGAACAGTTTATTTTCATCATAAACTCAACTTGTTAGTTATGATTAATGAGTTTGTGATTTATAAATGACATGGTGTGATGGTTCATACCTTTTCCGGCAGGCCGCTCATGGCCACGCTGTTCCGGGCGATCTCACACATGTCACAGTTGGTCAGCTTCCAGACCTGTGCAGCTATGGCGTACTCCTCCATCAGTGGCTCCTATCCAACCAGAACCAAGACAAATTATTACACCTTCCTAAACTGATCGAGACAATGGGTAATGCTTAGGTCCCAATTGGAAAAAGGGGCCCTGCCGGGTACTTCCCGGGATTGTTTTTGTCACGTACAGGCGTGGACCCTACGTAGCCCCACGGGACACCCTGCGGCTACCAGGCCTGGACCCGAGAAGAATGTAGTTCTGACTCTAAATTCTATCCGGGCCCCGCTGACGCCGTGACCTAACCGTGAGATCACCGAGAGGTGTCCGGCAGGTTGCCGGCAGGTTGCCGGCAGTCCACCGGGACAAATTCGTTACGCAACAGACCATTCTGGGACCGGCCGGGGCTACATCCCCGACGAACACCGGCGCGATTGGGACCTAAGCATTAGCCTTGCACATTGTGGTAGAAAATTCAAGGTCTTTCTCAGTTCAGTTTCTACTGATTTCAGTCAAAGGCCGCTGGTTACAACCCGTGCAGTACATACTAACCAGACAACGTTTAAGTTATAAGTCATTGTGACTTCAAAACTCCAGTACAACAGCTCCATGCGTCTCTGTCATGGCAGACTGTCAAGAAAAGGATTCTTGTAAACACTGTCTCTCAGCTACAGAGGGTCATTGCTACACATCAACCAGAAGTACTCTACAAACAGTTATGTCCTGTCTCCTACCAACACAGCCACAACACACGTCATGCTAGCCGAAACACATACTGTTTAATGAAACCCAAAACGAACGCCCTGAAGAAGACTTTCATTTATAGATCCTGAACAGTTTGGAACACTTTGCCGCATGAGGTACAAGCAGCAACTAAGAGTAGGTTTAGGCAGGAGTTGTTAGAGCACATGCGTACATAGGCACATGTTGATAGGCACATATGATGTTACTTTTAAATGTTAAATTAAATGTTGCATGTAAATAATGTTGTAATTTTGATGTAGTGTATTTGTACTATAATTGTATTTTAACTCCAGGAAGATTAGCTACATACTGGATTTTGTACCAATGTCTTGTGTGTCGCTAATGGAGTTTAATAAAGCACACACATAAAGCACACTGTATAATGTAGTTCACTTGTACAGTTACGTTTACATACATACGTAAGTCTCTAATGTTATCTGCACCCATAGTAGGTCTTACAGAACGAACAGCTTGTTGTGCTTATTACTAGCAGGCTTATGGATGTAAATGGTTACCCTTGTGTAGTGGAACTGCAGTGGATCGTCCGTTGACAGTGAGATGTTGAGTCCCCTGGACAGGTACTCGTACAGCGGGTTGCGGTTATAGTCCAGGAACAGACTGTTGTTGCTCAGAGGTGACATCGCGATTCCCACTTGCGCCAGGTAAAACAAGTAGTACAGAACTGGGCTCTGAGGACACACGAAACTTTATTGCACAACAATTGTATACTGTACAAACTGCTAGCAGAATATTCTTCAATCAGTGACTGTTTTTGAAAGGTAAAATCACGCACCTGTGGCAGGGGAGGCCAGAAGATCCACACAAGTCTCGACCTAGTCACGTGTTCTCGCGAGACTAGGTCACTCCGTGATCAAGGTGTACAGTCGACACCAAAAATTTGGAGGTACGTGATTTTACCTAACAAAAACAGTCATTGATTGAAGAATATTCTACTAACTGTTAATTCTACTTGACTGATAAACCTCTTCAACCATACAGTACAAAGCTTTGCATCTATTTGTATATAACAGACATACTATAAGACTAATCAACGTAGTAGTAGGTACTTTGCAGTCAATTGTCTAATTTCTTGCGTTTAAACATAGAACATTTGTTATACGTGACAACGGTATTTTTCTTATATTTTTTCTTACAAAACGTTTAAGTACTGAACATAATCCTACGATGGAATAAATGGTTTTGGTACCGGTGACGTCTATTTTGTAGAACAAAGTTTGCTGGAAGTAATTACTCCGTGAAGGAGGTCAGGACCTCCGGACGGAGTGTTGTGATCGGCTGATTTTTCATGTTCGCAGTCAAAACACTGGGTTCTCTTTGTGTAATCGGCACGCAATTTTATAGGCCGTCTGCGGGCATGCCCGTGTTGATGCACGAATGTGTATTTTTGCCGTTGCAGCTTTCGCGGTCAATGTAATATTGCAGACGCCCCCCTACAATTACGAGGCGAATTGGAATGGTCCAGAAAAACGCGTTGTTTGGAATAGCAGTGGGGGGGGTGGAACTTCATGCAGATACGGGGTGGTTTTTCTAAGTGGTTCCAGATGTTTTTGCCCATGCTTAAGAGATGACAAGTTTTTTGGAAGATGTTCGCAGCCAAAACGCATTCTTCCGTACGTCGCATTTCTGTGTAATTTCGCATGTGGTGTGGCATTATGTCCGGGATGATGCACGTCTTTTTATTTGTACCCTAGCTGTTTTGATATTGAAGTAAATGCATATTTTAGAAACATCCCTACTTTTACAATCCTGTGGAATAGGCCGTAGGTTTAGGCAGTTGTCTGGTAGCAGAGGTACTATAAGCAGATATCCTGGTTATCTGGCCGGCGGTAGTAACACTCGCGGTGCTTACCGCAACTGTTGCTGGAATTTGGCCAGGTTCCAGGCGCGCTTAATTAGGTACAGGCACGGTAAGACGGTGGGACTGTCTTTGTTACTAGACACGACCATGATAGTCCGATCTTTATGTGAATGCAATGATTGTGTGTGTGTAATTAAAATGAACTTCGAACTTGAAGCACAGTATCTTTACACGCCCTGGGAGCAGTAATGGATTTAGCTCTTTGTATGTTTTATGCTTGTGACGCGCCCCCATTGTATCAACCGTTGCCTAATTATAATGTCTGCACAGTAGGTCTGGCGTTGACGCTTGGGATTTTGTTTAAAAATATATAAAACTTCACGGAGGATTGTCACCTATGGCTTCTTGTTAATGCTTCTTTTTCGTCTCCTAATAGGATTTGTTAATATTGACCTTACCTTAACATGTTCTAAAAGATGCTACGTTCGATAGCACCGAGACTGCACTTTTATTATTCCATTTTTTCGGATGGATGTATTGTTTTGGGTATTCCTGTGTGTGCCCGTTTGTCTGTTCGTGTTTCCAGCTATTTGTGGTCAACATGAATTGAAAAGGTCTAGATGGAACTGTAGAGACATTCTTGTATCACATGGGAAGAAGAAAAGGGAACACGGTGAAGGGAAGGGAGAGTGTCGTATAGGTAGGACGTAGGTGGGAAAGTGAGTTGGTGGGTAGGTATAGGGAAGATGTGTATGTCCGTGTTGCAACTTTGTTTTATTATGGCAGTTACATATTTTACAGAGGTTGGTAGTAGTGAGAGTCTTGTAAAATGGGTGCTTTTTTCATGCAACGTCTATCTACTTAAGTCTTTGAATACTCTTTTTGGATTTTTTAATTGGTCTGTAGTAAAGTCATGAGAATCACCGTGTGAGAATTTGCTCATTTTGGCAGCTTGGAGACGTCATATTTTTCCGTCTCTAAATACTACCCATGCAGGGGTTTGAAATCTTCGATTTCTTGTTTCCCTGTGAAGATGACTGAACAGAACATTATTAGTACCTTTTTCAGGTTGAGTCCATGAGAAATATTTTCAGACAACATGAAGGCTGAGACCAGATGACGCGCATCTCCAGCCTCTCCGCAGTGAGGCCGCAGGTTGAACGTCCTCATACCCCGCTGCCTGGACAGCAGACAAGATCGTTAGTGTTCACAATAATACAAGAAGCGATTGTATATTGGAGAGACTGAAAGATCTCTCAAGGCTAGGTTCTTCAAACACAAACTACCTAGCTTGACTACGTCGGAGGTTTCACAACATATACACATAGAATCGGCTGGTCATTCAGTCTTATTGGACAAAGTAAGAATCTTGGACTCAGAATCGGGCTGCTTTGCACGAGGGATTAAAGAGGCCATCTACATCAGGTCATTATAACCATCCCTCAATAGAGACGGGGGCGCCACAGACTTTCTGCAACCTATGATCCACTGCTCACGGAGTCACGTGTGATATCTGTGTGACGTTACGGAAGCGGTGGATTGCTCATTCAATTATACAGTCGAAAATTTGGGTGAGTCAAATTTGTTGTGTTGGAAACTACAGTTTAAACTTGCTTCATAATAATACAAGAAGTTTCAAGTTCAAACTTTTGATCCAACACGAAGAAGTTCTCTGACTTAGAGCTTTCGACCAGTCACTCTGGTCTTCCTCAGTAGACTGACCCAGTGAGACTTGTCACGTGGCTTCTTTGAAGTGTGACGTCAGCACTGAGTACTTCACACTTCAAAGAAGCCACGTGACAACCTCACTGGGTCAATCTACTGAGGAAGACCAGAATGACTGGTCAAAAACTCTGGGTGAGAGAATTTCTTTGTGTTGGATCAAAAGTTTTAACTCCGAGAATTTTCGTGATATCAATACAAGAAGTATCATATATAGAACCCTCTCCAATCTATCATAGTACAGTCATTCGTGCACAGATGCTATGCAAAACATAGCCTTCTTGTCGAAGGTAAGAAAAATACGATAAAGGTATATCAAATCGTGTTTCAATTGTCTGCAAGAGTGAAAGAGGTTCCATTTAACTACGTATAATTCACAAATATCAACATGGCCATGCCACCTTACAACTTAGTTTACTTACATAGCAAAAGCACAGGGCTCCAGAACATTTAAGGAACCTTATATTTAATGTCATTGCCGTTTTCTATTTCATATGTAACATTGAAAACAGTGTCCTTACTTTCTGAGGTGGTTGAGAACAACCAGGTTAGCATACATGTAGTACATGTAATAGGTGTATGGAGGACTTTCATTCATGGTCCACTCATCCGGAGTCGGGCTGCGCTGGTTGAACAGGTGACGTTCTGCCTTTGACTCGTCATCAACAGAATCAAAGCCTGTAACCTGAAATATACAGTAGATGTTTATCATGAGATCTACAGATAAACACATACAAGTGTGCCTTAGAAATAGTAACACCTTATGCATCCTATGTAATTTCAGGGCGGCAATACAAAAAAATATTCAGGATGAGGAAATCAGTCTGATATTGACATTTACTGCCATTTCTCAGCACAGTTTCGTCATCATTTAATGCCTGAAGAGTTTGAAATAAATAACACAGAACAAGCGTGTTAGACTCTTTTTTTGGGGTACCGCCCATAAATAACTAGAAACAGACTACCATGCAAAATAAGCAAGAAGAAAAGAACGACAAAAGAGTGCATTAGTCAGAGTTTCGTTAAAGACCAAATGACACAAAAAGTCCGTAATATACATACAGATATCGGAAGTGTACATACAATATAGTCACTTGAAGTTTGTTCCAATCATGATGACTGCGAAATTGAGCTTGTACGGCCTTCTCAAAGTGAATTTTTTAAAACTCTCTAGCAAGCTTCCCAATCGCCCACTTCGGGCATCTCTATTTGCATCTCTGTGTTTTATTTTTAATCATTTCTGTGTTTTTTTCCTGAGCTGACATCACTGGGTGACATCATCTCAGGAAAAAATACAGACATGCAAAACTAAAATGTGGAGATGCAAATCGCCTGCCAGGACTTTTCTGCTGACTTTTCCCAGGCAGGGCATTAGAATTTCGAATGTAACAGGAGAACCGTGAATATTTATTACAAATGTATCTGTTAGCCAGGCAATACTAGTTATGTCAATTACAATCAGTTAAGGTCATATTTTGGTGTCATGAGCACTTTAAATTCTGACTATGAAAACCTTGTATAAAACTGTTCTTACGTAGTTCAGGAAGATGTGCAGATTCTGGTGCTTCTGAGGGTTTATAGTTGCATCAAATAGAGGCAAGAAGACGTTATCCAACATCTGCTGGAAATTTTGCATGGATCCCTTGGACCGATACACATCACTGGAACAACAGGGCAGGTCTTCGTCAGTACATGTACACATGTATAACGATGTAAATGTCCTTGTTGTGTCCCAAACCGTGCATTGTCCCAAACCATGCCCAGGCACGGGCATAATGTTTACCTTCGCATGTGGTCTGCTCTGTTAATTCTTACCTAAACACGCTAACATATATGGTGACAGGAGTCTAATTTTTTTACCCCTTCTTCTAAGAAATTATGTAACCCAACACCAGCTGTTACCATAGTGACAGGCGTCAACAAATTAGGTCATTGGCCAGGTCAGAGGTTTTATATTAATTATTTTAATAATGCATTTTATCGTTGAATTTTAAACTGTTGTATGTTGAATTTTAGACTTTTGTAAAATCACAACACAATTCAGGAGTTTCTCCTTCTATGTTGTTTTTATCAAATAAAGTTTAATAAAAGGTCACTGTTTGGAGAAGAAGAGGAAACTGAGCAAAAAACAATATGTTTTCCTTTGGGTAAACATAATAATTGGTACTCACAAGAGTCTGGGAACCTGCACCATCCAGCGGACCTGGTTAGAGAATACCCTGTTGGTGACGCACCACTCTGCCAGCCTGTCCCACTCGTCCATGGACCGCCCGTAGATAGACAGCCTCAGCTCGGCGTACTGGTACTTACTGAACTCCAGCTCAGACATGGTTTGCTGAAGGGAGACAAAAAATGTGTTCATCAGATACTTCGGGAGCACTAAATGTTACAGACGGCCAAATCACGTTCATTTAGTTTGAGGCGAGATCTTGCGAGATTTTCCGAGAACTACGTTGCTAAATCTATCATATTTGGGGTTACTAGACAATTTTTCCATTAGTGAGAGTACTAACCTCCAAATTTTCGATGGCTATCAGTCCATCTTGTTCACGGAATGGCCTAATCTCGGGCCCAGCAGACCGATGCAAGTCTC